TTTTGAAAATCTTCCGTCGAATATTTCATTCTGCAACAGAAATATGGTATTATTGAGGTCAAAGGATCAGTAGGAGTAATATGCATTGTAGACATGCATATTAATTCTCTCGTCATATATCTTTTTTCATGTTTGACCTGTTTTGTTCAAACTTTATAAACATTGACTATAAAAGTACTTGGTGTGATTCTTTTCATACCCACATTTGGTGTCATATTATGGCATTCATTTGAGCGTCTTGCAATGATTTCCAAATTAAAATTGTGTCTATAGGACATGGATGAGGTATAAGTATGGTGTTTGTAGGATGCGTAAGGAAAAGTAAGACCGAATCGTGATTCAACAGAGCACCATACATCACGGTGTTAAAATATGAAACCAAAACCTAATATCGAAAGAACCGTGATCACGACGGGACTTTTTAAACTCATCTTTAGAACTTAGATATCACGTTATTGTGAATTGAAATGCCAAGTTCTTTTTTTAGGTGTAAGTATAATTTTTATATACAAAAATGCTAGCGAGACCCCAAGATTTTGACATCAAATGCACACCAAGGCTAATATAGATACACACAGACATTAAATATTTGTATGTGCACAAACATTAAATGTCCGAATGTGTCTGTATTGTTGCATTTGAATTGGTGTCAAAATCCTAGAGTCCTCCTAACACTCCTCTTTTTATAAATGTATTTGACAATTTCTTTTGTGTGGATGGAATATATATACAGTTGGAGATGGCTGCATTACCGGAGACACCAACTTCACTAGCCAAAATCAAGTTTTCTCATGTATTCTTTGTTAGTTCTTATGCAAGTTTGAATTTGGGATATCATCTCTCATGTAGAAACAATCTATCCATCTATATATCTTCTCTTATTGTTTTTTTCTTTGCACCTACAACAATGTGGGCAAATCTTTCTATGATCCTAAAATTACAACAATGTAGACAAATTCTTCTATGATCTTAAGATCTACACTCATTTTTTAGAATTTAATATATAAACGTAATGGGTGAATTGAGCTTTTTGAAAGAAAAAAAATTCTCGTGTCAGCCCATAAAAAATATGAGAAAGTCAAGAACCTTAAGATCATGAAAGCATAACTCCAATATGTGGTTCTTCTCATATAAATAACTTAATAACTATCTATCTTAGCATAAACTAAATAAACAAAATATCCCCATATATTAATAACAAAATAAACTCTTCCCTCCGGCCAGAAATGTTCTTCCCATTTGACTTTTTACGATCTTTAAGATTATAGACCATTAATATCTTTATTTATGCATGGATATATTTTATAAAAATTTGATATTTGAAAATTATATTTCAAAATAAATATATTCATATTAAATTATAATATAATGTATTTTTTCCATATATCATAGTCAAAGTTTACAAACGTTGACTAAAAAAAGTCAAATGGGAAGAATATTTCCAGAATCCGGACGGAGTGAGTAAATAATTGTCGATCACAGAGTTTTGAGAGCCTGTCGGTTTGAAGCATTTTCCTTAGTCAAGGTTTGGTCAATGCATACCTTTGACCATCAACATGTTTATTTATAGATACGTATATACTCCGTATATTATAAAAATAAAATGTTTTAAAATTATCTTTCAAAATCAACTTGTTGATATTAAATTTATATTACAATTGAATACTTTTTTTCTATAATTGATAGTCAATGTTTAAAAAGATTGACCATACATGTTAAAATAGAAAGAATCAAAATGAAAGAAGATAATACTTTTTACTCTGTAATTGTGGCCAAATAGCTCTGACACCCCCTGTGGTTTGGAAAATTGGCCCCTATACCTCCTCTGTTTTCAAAACTTATTTCTAAAATCCCTATGGTTTCAAAACGTTGCACCCACACCCCCTATGATCATTTTCCGGTCATTTTCCGGCGAAGAGGGGGCATTGACGCATAATTTCTAAACCATAGGGGGCATTCGTGCTCATTTCTTATTTTCGTTTATTATTCTTCCTTTTTTTAATATTTTCTATCTCTTTTTCCTTTTCCTAGATTTTTTAAAAATATATTTTCAATTTTTTATAATGTTTCAAAAATTTTAAAATTCTTTGTGTTTGAAATAAAAATAGAAATAAAAAATTAACATACATTATTACATCTATCTCAAATTAAACAATTTCACTTTTTAATTTGTTACTTAGAGTAATTTTTTGGAAATTTCAAAAAAAACCCCAGAATAAAAAAATAAAATATGGAAAATCGAAATGAAAAAATTAAAATACGGAAAA